TTCCCCCTGACAGTCCAGTGACCCCATCCAGTCCAGTTCCCCCTGACAGTCCAGTGACCCCATCCAGTCCAGTTCCCCCTGACCAGCCAGTGACCCCATCCAGTCCAGTTACCCCTGACAGTCCAGTGACCCCATCCAGTCCAGTTCCCCCTGACCAGCCAGTGACCCCATCCAGTCCAGTTCCCCCTGACCAGCCAGTGACCCCTGACAGTCCAGTTACCCCTGACCATCCAGTGACCCCATCCAGTCCAGTTACCCCTGACCAGCCAGTGACCTCATCCAGTCCGGTTACCCCTGACCAGCCAGTGACCTCATCCAGTCCAGTTAACCCTGACCAGTCCAGTGACCCCGTCCAGTCCAGTGACCCCATCCAGCTAGGAGCAGCATCTGGAGTGGCCCCAAGCCCCCCCTCCACACCCCCACTTTCCAAGGGGAGCTCTTTCACTGCAGCTCCTCCACTCTGCCAGGCTCCTCCTGCTTCTCAGCACTGTGTGTCATTTACATCTGGGGCAAGTGGCCTTTCCAGACCTTACTGGAGGTGCAAGCTGTGTGGGAGTGAGCATGGCAATGTGAGACTTCCTTTTCTTTAGTTTAAAATGGCCACGGATTTTGCAGGTAAGGACTTCCTGAGTTCACAGATTCTGCATGTGTGGTCCTCAGTCCACAAACACCAAAGCGCTTTATTTCCCTTCCCTTGACATCTGTGGAGGGGCAGCATGCAGAGTAGGGCTCTGGTTCTGGCCAGCATTTGCTGATTTCATAATGGGGTAAGTTATGCAAACTTTACTTAACCCCCTAGGGTCTCTGAACCCACCTTGCGCATTCTGCTATCATCGCTGACCTTCTTGCTCTTGGGACAGAGAAAACTGATTCTTGTCTCAGGGACTTTGGACTTGCTATCCCTCTGCTGCCTGCAAAACTCATTGCTTAGATTCTTCTCCCTCCTTCTCCTCCACCTCCTCCTCCTCCACTATTTCCTCCTCCTCCTCCACTATCTCAGCCACCATCTCCTCCTCTTCTACCTTCTCCTCCTCCTCCACCACCTCCTCCTTCTCCACTATCTCAGCCACCACCTCCTCCTCTTCCACCTCCTCCTCCCCCTCCTCCTCTGCTACCTCCTCCTTCTCCTCCGCTACCTCTTCTTCCTCCTCCTCCACTACCTCCTCCACCTCCTCCTCCACTATCTCAGCCACCACCTCCTCCTCTTCCACCTCTTCCTCCTCCTCCTCCACTACCTCCTCCTCCTCCATTACCTCCTCCACTACCTCTTCCTCCTTCTCCACCACTTCCTCCTCCTAACCCCAAATCTCACCCCATGGCATCTACTGCTGCCCCTTCCTCTGATTCCTCTTCATAGCACCTGCCACCATCCAACATTCTATTATACATTTGTTTAGTGTCTATTTCCTGCTC